GAAAATGCATGTGGGATAGAGTGTATTGGTACCCATCAACTACTGAAGCTAATGAGCAATGAGAGATAGCATATGGGTAGAACTTTTAGGATCGAAATCAGAAGAAAGCTTAACTATGAGAATAATGGTAGCTTGGGAACAGCCTTGCAATGGAAGATGTTTAAGTGGCTTCAGAGGGCTGGTATTCCATCTAGGAAAGGGTATGGATTTGTAGAGCACTGTAGTAATAAGAGGCCTGACACAATAAGCCAAGAGTCCCGCATTCCTCCATATTAAAAACAGTTGCTTGAGATGGGGTGGCTGACTTGGTCCAGAAGCTTTGACACCTGAGATGAGTACAGTTGACTGTTGCATGCTCTGTGGAGTGCTATTTGAGATGTAGGATGCCAGTAATAAGTGAGTATCTTCTTAGGAATATTATTGGAATAATAGAATAAAATAATTTGTCAAGGAAGGGCATGTCCCTTCTGGGCACTTCAGGCTCTTTACACATCTCTATGTTTTCTCATATGCTAATTTGAGTTCATGATTTAATTTTTTTCTTTGCAACAGCAGAGGATAGGTATTTCTGGTACAGTCTGTACTGAGCTGGAATGCACAGGACTGGCCTAGTCAGACCCTGGCTGATGTAGTAAACTTATGTTACTGCTTTGGCTGAGAGGTAACTTGAAGAAGCAGGTCTACGTGTAAACAGCTATTAAAAAAACCAAACCAACAAAACAAACCCAAAGCTATTTCCATTACTCCAACGAAAGAAAGGAGTGACCATTTTGTGTCCTTTGTTACAGGTGCTTTGTCTTGGATCTTTTTGAGGCTACAGTAGTTTTAAGTCCTTAGGTTCAAAGGGCATGTTGTTCCATAAAGATAAGGTGTACTACAAAATCAGCTAGATGCTGAATGATCACTGTGCTCCTCTTGCACAGTACTTCCAGTTTAAACTGGGTAGGCTGGCACTTCTACTCAAGAACCAACCGGTTCTGCCTCTGGCAATTTTTTATCTTCTTTATGCTGGCAGATGACTTGTGTGGTGAACCCAGTCAGGGGACTGATGTGGGTTAAAACTAAACTTTTCTTTTTTTGTCTAGGTTAGTTTTAATTGGGGTTGGTTCACCACATTGTTGCACAAATGTTTGTGCCAGCAAGAGGATGGAAATGAGTGGCTCGGGGACAGCAAGACTGCTGCTTTCAGCAGCAGTGCCAGCTTTCCTGTGTTTTTACTCCAGGCCATAGTGGCGCTTTTGCCATGCTGTCCTCAGGCAAAGCGATGAACTCTCATGATCTAGGTCTTCCTTTCCATGTCCTCATTTAGTTTACTTATTAAATGTTTGTGTGTGTAATAGATGTGGTGTTGATTTAATCAGCTAGTACTATACATTAAAGTAATTTATGGTTTGAGTACAAACTATTTAAACAGACATATTTAGCATATTGATTTATGCTTCCTGCAGTGTTTCTCAAACTCTTTTCATATTATCCTCCAGGATAAATTAGTGGCCCTGGTGCAACTCTCGAACAACAAGGAAACAGCTAGTGACAGAGCACAGGAGGCAGGCAGAAGGAGATGGCAGGAGGCAGCAATGAATGTGGCAAGAGGGGGGGGCAACCCAAGGGCTCGAGGAAATCTGTCAGCAGCACCTTTTAGCCACCTACTACCGGAACTTGTTTCTCTGGCCTGATGCTGGCCTCAGAGGTGATGTCTTGGCTCAGCAGCTATGAGCAGCCTTTGACTCTGCTTCTGCACTTACTTATTTATTCCCTGCCTGAAACCTTCTTGGTGAAGGTCCATCTTCTGGCCGTGGTCCCTTTCTCAGCCATCTTCTGGCTGCCCCTGACAATATGTCTTTGTCCTATTGCACTGTCATCAGAAATATTCCATAGTGACTGTCTTCTAATGCCTGATTTCTTGCTTCATTAGTAACTAATTAATTTTAAAATAATATTAGAAAACACACTACCTGATAATAGTCTATGTCAGAGATTTTTCCTCAAGTATAAAGAGGGACTTGCTCTATAATAACTTTGCCACCAGTTCATCATAAGAGTTCATGCTAGCATTACTGATCTACTGAAGCTTGGATCTACCGATATAAAAAAAGTATCACCAAGGTTAATACACTATTAAATCTTTTGGACAAGATGTCTAGGCTTTCAAGGGACTGAGTATGGATGTGAGGATTTTCTCTTCCCTTACTCTCCTCCTACTCTGCAGCTAATCTGATCTAACTGGGCAGTTGAGATCTGCTCCCTTTGGTTTCCACTCTGATGCAGACTGCAGCAAAAGAGGCTGCTGGGTCTTCTCTTCACTCCTAGTATGAGATTACTGAGGTCCTCTACTCCAGCAAAACTCTCTCCCAGACACAAATATACCCGGGAACCCACATGCCACAGTTTTATTTGTGAGAAAAGGTAGCAGCACTGCTGGCTGGGATGAGAGATGGGATGAGCCATGCTAGGCTGAACAGCTGTGCTAAGCTGAGCATAAAACAAGTATTACAGTTACCCCACCATCTAATAACTTTACTACCATTTGATAGCATGCTTTTTTACAATGGGAATACTTCTGTGGTGTGAGGAGATCATCCTTACTAGCTCAGTACTTACTTTATGTTGGCATATAATTATTAAAGGGGCTTGCACAAGTGGTGATACGTGAAGAAAGGAATCTTGAGAGCAAAAATAATCTAGAAGATGGAAAAGGCTGTGAAACAAAGGGCGGGTGGCAGTAGGAGTCACGGAAAAGAAATGCAGACTATTTCAGCACAATGTAGTGGTTTATAGCTAGAAACTTTAAAAGTATATCCCATTGCTGTTGCTTGTAGTATGCCTGGGTATTTTTACTGGATGAGACGCAAGAATATGGAGACTGTTGCTTCTGTCATTCTTGAGATCACTGTTAGAGAACATACTGTCCAGTTCTACTGAGATGTCTCTCAAGAGACTGCTGTACAATTGGGCAGAGCTCAGGGCAAACTACAAGGATTCGTGGCTTAGCAGTTGCCCTTGCAGTGAGGGGGGAAAAAGATCGATGGACATGTTCAGTGTGGTAGGGGGAAGATGAGGAGCTGCCTGGAACAATTTGCAAGCACCCATACTGGCATGAGATGCTTGGCACCAGAGGGCTTTTTAATCTCTGGCAAATGTGTGATGAAAGGTTAGACTTTGCAGTCGGTGACGTTCAATATGTAAATGCCATCCGTTAATTCTAAGTAGTTAGAATAATTAACTGGAAACTACTAATCTGATGGAGAATTACAAAATCATCAATAGTCCATTAGTTAATGCTAGATGGTTCTCTAAAAGGTAGGCCCTACTTACAAATTGTTTAGGTTGTGTAGGGCTCACTAGGGAGATTGTCTGATCTGTGTCATACCAGAGAGTGGGCAATGGTGATCCTTGATACCTTTGCAGAACTGAAGACTGTATTCTTTGCTGTAAAAGAAAAGGAGAAAGTGGGTGTGAGGACAAGTTATGTTTCTTGAAGTAAATGTTAAAGGCTCTGTTCCTGTAGCTTTTTCTGATAGTTTTGCAGGCTGCAGTACAATGCCTACAAAGCATTGTATATTTATCACTCATCATTGGTAGCAACAACTAAAACTGATATCTGGACTAAGAATCATTTAAGGGGTTTTGATGTATAATAAATGTCAGTTAATAAAGCAGAGGCAGATTATACTCTGCATTACCCGGTACAGTTCTTGAAGAAAAAAGTTGTTGGTTATTATATCTTCTTTGTTTCACTATATTATTTAAGTTAATCTGTGCTGCTGTGTCCTAGGCATCAATCTACCTGAAAAAAGAAGCTGCCTAAGCACAAGAGGCATTGGAGATGGAAAGCAGCTACTGCACATTACTAGAATGAACTCTGAAGTCTGGCGTAAAAGAATCTTTGAAAACTACCTTTTTGAAAACAGAATTTGACTTTTTTTAAAAGGGCAAACGGTGTCTTTAGCAATGTTTGAGCAGAAAACAATGTAGTTGCCTGTATGTATTCAGTAAAACGAGGCTGAGATGAACCTAGAATTGTGTGCGTTTCTGACGCGACATGCATTGGCTTTGTCCCTGCCTAAGTATTCTGGTGACCGTTTGGGAAAAGATTTTGATTATCTTGGTTTTTTATTTTTCATTCTTGTATCCTTGTTAAAACTGTCTACCTGCACCCAAGAAATTGGCTTGGGGAATATGAACAACTAATCAACTAATTTTTTTTTTTTTTTTTTTTTTTTTTTAATTTGCTTCTGTATGTATAGTGTTTCTGTCAGGAAGTTAGCCTTCGAAAAGGGAGAAGCTTGGTCTGTTTCTTCTCAGGATGATTCAGTGCAGTACTGGTATTTTAAGGTTGTGATTCTGCTCTCAGTCAACAGGAAAAATTACTTCAGTGATGATCGTAATGGATGCATGTATCACCTTGATATGGCACACTTGCATATTAACAGGCTTAATAGGAGTTTGCTGCACACAGTATTGTTGCTTTTTAGAGACAGATGTCTAGTAACGACTTAGTCTTTGTCTAAGCATAAGCTTTGTATTGATAGGTGGTAAAATTAAGGCTGTCTTTGACGCATGGATAAGGACTTCATTTCCTTGGTCTCTATTCTAGCCTCCTGTGCCTTCCTGTCTTTTCTTTGTTGGGTTTTTTGGGGGGTTTTTTTGTTTGTTTTGTTTTGTTGTTGGGGGGGGGTGAGGGGGGTTGGTTTTTTTTCCCCCCCTGTGATCTTGATGATCAGTAAGGAAATTAATGGAATAAAGTTAAAGCTAATACTCCTACAGAGATTAGTGTTCTCCTGTCTCCCACCCAATAAAATCATGCACATACTATGGTATGTCAGTGTTAAGTGTGGCCTGAGAAACTTCTGACTGTATAGTACCAACTGAAATTGGGTTTGGGAGTTAAATCAGCCACCAACAGAACTTATGTATGTATTGAACTGATTATTAGGTGGGACAGTTCTCTAAGCATAAATAAAATAATTAATTTTTGGTGTCCTTAGAAATTTTGCAGTATGACAGATGATAAGCATGTTTTGATTTGTTCCAGTAGCCGGATCGAGCTGGGAGATGTGACGCCACACAACATTAAGCAGCTGAAGAGGCTAAACCAGGTCATTTTTCCTGTCAGCTACAATGACAAGTTCTACAAGGATGTACTGGAGGTTGGCGAACTAGCCAAATTAGGTACAAATGTTCTTGCCTGTAATTGTGGGCTATGGTGGCAGAAGTGCTCATCATTGCTATCCATAATGGTTTTAAATAGCAGATCCTTCTATTTTGTTGGTTTATATCATGAAAAATAACTTTTGGGAACCTCAAAAAAGCCACAGTCCCAACCTCAGAGGGTTTGTGTTCTAAATAAATTCAGTTTTACTGGGAATAGGCATGTTTTCTGTTACAGCAGAAAACTTGAGAGATGTGTGCTGCCAGCTTACCTCCTGATGTCATTGCTAGTTGGTTTGAACTGTAATAAGCCAACCACTGTGTCAGAGCACTGCTGGTAACTTCACTTAGTGTTAGCCACAATCTGTGATTTATCTGGATGGGAGAATTAGCAAGAGGGAAGGAAGGAAGATACAGGGCATAAATGAAGGAGCTGTATGTACAGTTTGAGGCTTGTGACTGATAACACTTTGTTTCCCTCCCTGGCAGCGTATTTCAATGATATTGCAGTGGGAGCAGTGTGCTGTAGGGTGGATCACTCCCAGAACCAGAAGAGACTGTACATAATGACACTCGGATGCCTGGCACCCTACCGAAGGCTAGGAATAGGTAAGGAGGATTTCTTTTGTATCTGAGTCACCAAAGAAACCAGATTGCTGTGCAGCTTTCTAAATGCTCTTTCAGATTTTTAACCAAGATAGTGCACTTTCAGACCACTGATTTCTTTGGAAGGGACTTTGGGGAA